AGGGGCTCAGTAGGAGTATTGTGTTTCTCTCTTGATTTCTGCAGAGGCTGGCTTTAGCTGAAAAATCAATGATGAACTCATGCTTGAAGATAAAATTAGTCAGCAGGCGTCCTTGACTCTGACAGTAGGCAGAGCTCAGTCATTCTTCTCTGACTCGAAACATGTTAAAGCTTTATGCAAATTGATTGAATCACACTCAGGAATCTGACAGGGTGCCATCAGATTATAAAACAACCAAAGAGACATTGCAAAAGAGCAGTACATTGGCAGTTATGTCGAAAATTTTCTGCACCTGTTTTACACGATACTGGGGGGGGGAAATCGTATCATGATTCATCTTTTGCATAATTCTGATATTTATCTAGCTTTAAAATATTGTGTGTGCAGTTTGTGCTGCCACATTAGCTGGGTTTGCATGTAATGATTTGAATTCACAGCTGATTAAACTTCCTTTATTAATTTGTGAATTAAGCTCTGTTCCCATTCTATGTATTCAAAAGGTTAAAATTGTCAATTTCTAGAAAGCAAATGATCAACAATACATATGGAAGTGCAATGGACTGCAATATCTAACACTGTCATATTATACAGAGGGGATTAGGGCAATTTTTCTATATGCATTTCCATTGTGCTTTATTCACGTTTAAGATTTTGTGCATCTTAGTGTTTAAACCCACTAAAGGTGTTTTTGTAAAAATCTATTAATAAACACCTACAGTTAAAGTCAGATTTATTAGCCCCCTGAATTTTTGTGACTTAATTCTGTCCTATAGTCTGTTATAATTTTAAATGAAAGTGCCTGTAGAATGTGATTTATGGGAGTTTTTATTTAATTATTTGCTTTAGAATAGCATTAACAGACCATGGTGGGGGAAAAAGCATTTTTAATATCCCAAACTGTGCACTGTGGTGCAGTGGGTAGCATGATTGCCTCACAGCATGAAGGTCGCTGATTCGAGGCCTGGCTGGGTCAGTTGGTGTTTCTGTGTGGAGTTTGCATGTTCTCCCCATGTTTGTGTGGGTTTCCTCCGGGTGCTCTGGTTTCCCCCATAGTCCAAAGACATGCGCTATAGGTGAATTGAATAAGCTAAATTGTCTGTAGTGTATGAGTGTGAATGCAAGAGTGTATGGGTGTTTCCCAGTGTTGGGTTGCGGCTGGAAGGGCATCTGCTATGTAAAACATATGCTGGATAAGTTGGCGGTTCATTCCACTGTGCCGACCCCTGATGAATAAAGGGACTAAGAGAAAAAGAAAATAAATGAATGAGTCCCAGACTGCACAAAGCAATATGAGAATGTGAATGTTTGTGTCTGTATATACTAGATCTAAAACAACATTTCTCAGGCATATCCAGAGGCATCATTAAATTATTAAAAATTATCTGAATAAGAATAATTATATTAACTAAATGTATTCATTATATAACAACTTTTTATATATATTGCAACAGAAAAACAAGAATTTACTTTTTTAAAATATAAATATGCATAAAAAGTAATAATAATTATTATTATTATTATTTTATTATAATATTATTATTATTATTATTATTATTATTTATTATTATTTACAACAAAAATGTGGGTTGTGACTTCTGTTTAGGTGAGCGTTTGTGTGTGATTACATTAGTGGCCCAGCCGGACCCGCAGCACGGAGCCGCTCATCTGCTGCAGTCAGCAGCCATTAGCCCTTCACTGTTGAGACTCCTCTGTTACCTCCATAATGCAATTACACAGTGGAGAGTGCAATTTCATGAGCCAGGCTACTGATGGATAGAGCGATGGATGCCTAGAGAAAGCCAGAGAAATTAAATGACAGAGGAATCAAGGCCTCATATTTGTTGCTGCTTTTTCGCTTGATTGTGTTTTTTTCTGTAGTTGTGTGTGTGTGTGTGTGTGCATGTGTGTGCATGTGTGTGTGTGTGTACGCGTGTGTGCGTGCGTGTGTGTGTGCATGTGTGTGTGTGTGTGTGTGAGTGTGAGTGTGTGTGAGTGAAGCGTTAAGTTGTGGTTTTGTGCCCGAGCATGGGTGATTAGATCTATGCAGGTGTTCCTTTCTGCTTTTTTCCATATGCTGCCATTTAAAGCTGCAGTTCAGGTTTTGACGGTTTTGGTGACAGTCTGAAGTCTGCTGAGAATAGCTTTCCATAAAGTGTGTTCTGTTGATTCATTTGGTTGCTCCAAAACACTTTCCGTCTCTTTGTCTTGTTTTTTAACAGTTTCTTTATCTAACCTCTCTAAGCAGTTTTTCTCAAATATAAATTCAGCATTGATTTCATTTTTTTTTTTTGCCTTGCATTTTTTTTATTAATCCCACAAATCATTTACTTACATTTGTTTTTATCTGATTATTGTAGTAGTAGTTTTAAGTCATCAGCAGAATTTTAGCACCCACACTCACCCTCTCTCTCTCTCTCTCTCTCCCTCTCTCTCTCTCTCTCTCTCTCTCTCACACACACATGCACAAACACACACACATGTGAGTGTACGTTTGTTTACATGCATGTAGTTTTATTTTACCTTTTTTAAATAAAAAAATGTCATTAATATTTAAACTTACAAAAATGTTTTAGTTATTTAAACCTCATCATTAAACCTTAACTATTTCTTTTAAGTACAGTTGAAATCAGAATTATTAAACACCCTTTTATTTATTTATTTTATTTTATATATTTGCTAAAGGATGTTTAACAGAGCAAATTTTCACAGTACGTTTGATAATATTTTTTGTTTTATTTCGGCTAAAATAAAAGCTTAATTAATTATTTAATTGTTTAAAAACATTTTAAGGTCAAAATTATTAGCCCCTTTAAGCTATATAGTTTTTCAAAAGTCTACAGAACAAACCATCATTATACAATAACTTCCCCTTTACTCTAACCTGCCTAGTTAATCTAAGTAACCTAGTTAGGCCTTTAAATGTCACTTTAAGCTGTATAAGAAGTGAAAAATATCTAGTCAAATATTATTTACTGTCATCATGGCAAAGAGAAAATGAATCAGTTATTAGTGATGAGTTCTAAACTATTATGTTTAGAAATGTGTTGAAAAAATCTTCACTCTGTTAAACAGAAATTGGGATAAAAAATAAACAGGCTAATAATTCAGAGGGTTTAATAATTCTGACTTCAACTGTACTTCATATTGTTAAAAATGTAACTGAAACGGACACATTTCAAAAGATCATGGGATTATAGTAAATAAAATTCGAAAAAGTTCGACACTATAAGGTCAAATCTTGATCGAAGTGTTATGCCATTGGAATGCTGTCTGTATGTATGTATATATCTACAGTGCTCAGCATAACTGAGTACACCCTATTTTGTAATTTAATATTTTTATCCATTTCTCAGTGAATATAAGTAATCTCTTTTGGTGCGTTTAAACAAAACTGATGTATTAAACAGATACATTTATTAAATTAATATTTTAGTCACTAAACATATTTAGAAATTGAAAGATAATACAATTAAATTCGAGCAAAATATTGCAAAACAAATTTCAGTCTACAAAATTTCAACTATTTTTTTATTTCAAAAATAGTTGAATTTTTTTATATATATATATTTTATTATATTTTTTGCTTCTTTTGATTTTTTTGTATTTAATATTTTTATATAGCATATAAATTTGGATGTACTAGGGTTTGGACTGTTATTCTAAGTTATTTTGTTTGATAAGCTACAGATTTGGTTGCGGTACTGACTAATCAAATGTACAATTGAAATCAGAATTTTTAGCCCCCCTGAATTATTTGCCCTCCTGCTTATTTTTTCCCCCAATTTCTGTTTAACAGAGAGAAGATTTAGAACACAACTCTAAACAATTTTAATAACTCATCTCTAATAACTGTTTTATTTTATTGCCATGAAGACAGTACATAATATTTTACCAGATATTTTTCAAGACACTTCTATTCAGCTTTTAAAGGCTTAACTAGGTTTGTTAAGTTAACTAGGCAGGTTAGGGTAATTAGACAAGTTATTGTATAATGATGGTTTGTTCTGTTGACTATCAAAAAAATATAGCTTAAAGGGGCTAACAATTTTAACCTTAAAATGGTTTTAAAAAATTTAAACTGCTTTTCATTCAAAAAATAAGAAGCAAATAAAACTTTCTCCAGAAGAAAAAAATATCATCAGACATACTGTGACAATTTCCTTGCTCTGTTACTCATTATTTGAGAAATATTTAAAAAAGAAAAAAATCAATGGGGGCTAATAATTCTGACTTCAACTGTATATCGCTCAAACATTCAAATGTAATTTTTATGTTTGCTTTAAATGTATAAAACCATTAACTAGACAGTGATTTCACTTTATGTATTTATAATTCTCAGCTTCACTTCATATATTTAACTATATATTATGTACTTCAGCATTTACCTTGTTTAACATGTCAGTTTTCAATGTCATCCTCCTAACAGTTATCTGTCGATTTTTCGATTGTTTACTCTTGGTAGGTTGGTATGATTAAAACTCCAGAGCTTAGTGCACATTAAACAAGTGAACCAATAACCTGAAAAGATGGCTCTCAGTCTGTTTTCAAATGATTTCTGATGTGCTACGGCTGAAATATGAATGACAATAGCATCAAAACTAACCAAAACAGGATATGATGTCACAAGATGTGACCATAAAAATGACAGAATTAAAAAAATAATAATTGAAAAGTAAACATGATGTTTGCCTATATTGGATATGCTTTATGTTGTTGCTCAAATATTCAAATGTAATTTTTATGTTTGCTATCAATGTATAAAATCATTAACTAGACAGTTATTTCACTTTATTTATTTATAATTCTTAGCTTCACCTCATATACAGTATTTACCTTATTATTATGTAACTCAGCATTTTCCCTGTTTAATATGTCAGTTTTCAACAACATCCTCCTAACTGTTGTCTGTCTTTTCCATCTTTTCCATTCTGTCTGTCATCCCTCATTTCCAAACCCCCTGCTCTTTCCCCGTTGCGACTCCATCTGTTTGTTCTGGGCAGGAGGAATGATGAGGTCACCCACATTAAAATCCAGAACTCGGGGGACTATTATGACCTGTACGGAGGGGAGAAGTTCGCCACGCTGGCTGAGCTGGTCCAGTATTACACCGAGCAGCACGACCTCCTGAGGGAACGCAATGGAGATGTTATTGAGCTCAAATACCCACTCAACTGCAAAGACCCCACATCTGAGAGGTACAGTCTTTCCAAATCTCTACCTAGACTTAATATTGAGTGGACAGAATAAATCCTGCCCCCTAGTGTTCAAACATCAGTGCAAAGGAAGAGCTGTGGTTTGTTTGGCAGAACTTGTTTGTGCTTATGTTAGGGGGGTGGGGGGCTAACAGTTTGTGTTTCTTCTTTCTGTTTTGACATTTATGTTTTTGAGGTCCAGAATCGTTTTTTGGGTCCAGTATACTTTATAACTTCCTTCACCTATGTAAATAATTACGTTTGATGTTTCTGTGGTGTGTATGGTGCAACATCCTGTAGGCTGTGAAATCTAAGTGTTTATAAATGGGTCAAAGATGCCTTTTAAACATCAAGGCAATAAACATGTCATTTAGATTTACATTTAGTTGTTGTTGTTGTTTAAACTTATTTACTTAGGACACCCATTGTCATGTACATTTAGAAAAATCATTTAAATATTAAAAGACTCAAATTCAAAATACTATTTAATTTTCTTTTGAAATTTTATAATACAGTAATATACTCCAATAGTGCTAATAATTTATATAATAATAATGTAATAATAATTTTGACCTTAAAATGTTTTTTAAAAAATTTTAAAAAACTGCTTTCATTCTAGCCGAAATAAAACAAATAAGACTTTCTCCAGAAGAAAAAATATTATCAGACATACTGTGAAAATTTCCTTGCTCTGTTAAACATCGTTTGGGAAATTCTAAAAAAAATAATAATAATAAAAAATCAACTGTATTAAAAAAAATTTATGTTTACTTATTGTTTAATATAGCATTGTTATTTTATTTTCACATAAATATATATTTTGCTGAATGACATTATTTAACCCATGTTTTGACCTTTTATTTTCACTAGTTATCTGAAACATTAAATCAGATCTTTTTGCTCTATTTTTCTTTCTGCAGACATTATAAATGGCTGTTTTGCCTTTGACACATACATGACATGGTGTAGGTGATAGACATATTTACATCTAAAGATTATATTCTATATGTATGTTTTTGTGGTTTTTTTAGTTTGTTAGCAAACACCTCCCACACATATCCTCATATCATAACAGCTCCAACTCTCTTTAGTTTTACAAGATCTCTACCGACACCTCTGCTTATTTTCCAACCGCAAACTAAATTTTATGCTATAGTCTTTATATAGTGAAAGTTGGAGTGTGCATTTAAAGTGACAATGTAAAAATATATTGGTGGTCAACATTTAAAAAGCAGGTGTTTTTGTGTGGGGGAGCAGTTATTAATATTCACATCATTTACAGGAATGTTTACATGTGGAACAGCAGGAAACATATACAGTATGCTGTATCTTCTTTTTTTTTGTGTGAGTGTTCACACTTGGTATATTTAAAGCCCCATTAATATTAGTTAGTGAATAAGTGTAATAACCACTGCTATCTAGAGCTTATTGCACATTAAACAAGTGAACCAATACCCTGAAAAGATGGCTCTTGTTTTCAAATAATTTCAGATGCACTACGGATGAAATATGAATGATAATGGGCCAAAGGCATCAAAACAAACCAAAAACAGGATATGATGTCTCAAGATGTGACCATAAAAATGACAGAATATGCAAGCATACAAGTTTTCTCATCATAATCCTGATTTTGCCCATTGCAGATCAATACAGTTTACAGAAACAAAAAGTGTTTTTGCAGCAAGTTTTCAGCTTCAGATGTTTGTGACTGACAAATTTCTGGGGGTATTTTGACTTAAAGTTTTTTTTTTTTTTTTTTTTTTTTGAGTTCACAACTGTTTAAAAAAAATATCACATACAGACTTTGTGTATGTTCTGCTGCAAAAAAACAAATTTTTTTATGTAGCTTTATGTTTGGTCCAAAAATGCTAAATGCTAAAAAAATGCTAACACAAAGCTAGCAAGAACTGTATATTTTTCCTACACTTTTTCTTTTGTCTAAATCAAACAAACCTACAAAATTGAGTTTCAAGTGTAAAAAATACAGTTGAAGTCAGAATTATTAGCCCCCCTTTGATTTTTTTCTTTTTAAAATATTTCCCAAATTATGTTTAACAGAGCACGGAAATTTTCACAGTTTCTTTTTTTTCAGCTAGAATAAAAGCAGTTTTTAATTTTTTAAACACCATTTTAGGGACAAAATTATTAGCCCCTTAAAGCTATATATTTATTTAATAGTCTAAAGAACAAACCATCATTATACAATGACTTGCCTAATTACCCTAACCTGCCTAGTTAACCTAACTAACATAGTTAAGCCTTTAAATGTCACTTTAAGCTGTATAGAAGTGTCTTGAAAAATATCTAGTCAAATATTTTTTTACTGTCATCATGGCAAAGATAAAATAAATCAGTTATTAGAAATGAGTTATTAAAACTATTATGTTTAGAAATGTGCTGAAAAAAAATCTTCTCTCCGTTACACAGAAATTGGGGGGAAAAAATAAACAGGGGGGCTAATAATTCTGACTTCAACTGTATGTATTTTCAGAAACAGGAGGCCCATTAATGAGAATTTCTGTGGTTTGTGTTTTGCCTGTTGTCAGGTGGTATCATGGACATCTCTCAGGAAGAGACGCTGAAAAGCTCCTTACAGAGAAGGGTAAATCCGGAAGCTTCCTGGTGAGAGAGAGTCAAAGTAAACCTGGGGACTTTGTGCTTTCTGTCCTCACTAATGAAGAAAAGCATGAAAATGTAGACCGCAAGACTAAAGTCACACATGTCATGATCCGTTATCAGGTAAAAACAGGGTAACATTTCACTATTTCCTTAAGGAAAAAAAAGAAGATTAAAATAAATGTCTATTTAAAAAAAAAAAATTTTTTTATGTCTTTTACCAGGATGGAAAATATGATGTAGGAGGAGGGGAGAGGTTTGACACCTTAGCAGATTTAGTAGAGCATTATAAGAAAAACCCCATGGTCGAGAAGAGTGGAATTGTTGTGCACCTTAAACAGGTGAGTAAATCAAACCAAGCCTGAAAGAAACACATTTTTCCTTCAGACAAGCAATTACAGTAGCTGCAAATGCAAAACAAGTGCCTTTCAAAGATCTGGGTCTGCAATTTATTATTATTTTTTAAAGAACCATTACTTATATTTATGCACTAAATTGACAAAGTGACCAAGAAATGTATAATTTTAAAAAATGTTTCTATATCAATCAATTTTATATTTAGTTTGAAATGAATCATGAAAAAAAGTTCACAAATTCTTCAAGAAAATATTCATTGTTTTCAACTTTGATAATATTAAGAAATGCAGTGGTGGAAAGAGTACTGAAAAAAAATCATACTTAGATAAATTAAAGTAGTGCAAGTAGATGTAGTGCAAGTAGAGATAAAGTATCTGTTGTAAATATTACTCTAAGTATGAGTAAAAAGTAGCCCTTTTAAAAGTACTCGAGTAGTGAGTACCATTTAATTTGTGGATGTGTGTAAACGTAATATTCTGTAGTGCATTTAGTTATTGCCCAGCAGGCACAGAACGTCATAAGACGTTAATATTAGGTTAGATTTAGATTGTGACCTAAATTTAATGGTTAGCCAGCATCTAGGAACGTTATTTTGAAGTCCAAGGATGAATGACGTCAAATGACGTTGATATTTGATTGATTTTAGGGTTTAGGAAGTGAACAAAAACATTGAGCCAACAACTTAAAGGGGTGGTCCACTATGATATCATATTTTAAACTTTAGTTGATGTGTAATGTAGCTGTGTGAATATAAACAACATCTCTGAATGTAAAAAGTTCTCAATTTAATGCAAAGGGAGACCTTGATTTTTACGGAGTTAAGCCTACAATGAACAAATTTTGGGGACTACAAAAAATACTTCCACCCCCTGTGAGATCACAAAGGTTCGTTTACTGTGCATACAAACTGCGCAGGTAAGGCGCAAAAGCAGAAAATCTCCTCAAAGCAGAAGCTGTGAGCTACAACCTGTAAGTGTTTTTATTTGTTAAAATTGATCATGACATGTACAGTGTATAGCGTTAACGGTACGCTGTAGCAACGATGTAAACAATGCGAAATGCTGCTTTGCGGGCAAACGATTTAGCTACAAATTCATATTTATCAGTCAAACTGCTGTAAACACACACACACACTCCACCAGCACGTTCGTGACTCTTATGTGTGTGCGCGACTTTGCATTGATTGTCTTCAGGCAGTTTTTCCATGTTTTTCACATCTCAGATAATGAAGTCGCAAAAGATATGTAGATGATTCATATTACTTACACCTGCATATTCCGGATATATATGAAAGCCGTCTTGTAAAGCATAGAGTTAAAAAAATACAGGTTAGCTTACCTGACTCGTGGTAGCAGCAGAATAATAAATCAAGGCTCACACATCTTGTGCTTTATTCTTCTGTCACGATATATTATAGAAAATAACTTAATCCGAGCATCAGAGAAAAAGAAAAAAAAACTCCCGTGCACATGCGCTTGTTACAGAAAGTTCACACATTCACTCACACTCACACACACATAGACGCAGACAACATTCACTCACACACACACACACACACACATAGACACACACAAAGACAAGGTCTCTTTAAGGAGCTGCACCCAATTTTCACTCGTTACAGACACTTGTCAGATTTTATTTTAGTGAGCAGGCAGGTGGTTGAATGATTGTTTACACAGCAGAAAAGCGCATGCTTTCATGGGCGTGACGTGGAGCCAATCCGCGAATAGCAGCACATTATGACGATGACCAATCAGAGTCACTTAAGGGCAGGCCTTTCAGAGGAACTAGGAAATTTGACAGTCATTTTCATGTTAGCTGAGTAGCTGTGTATAATCAAAGTGAGATATATGAAAAAATAACGCGATTTCCTTCAAGTGAAACATGAGCACACATTGCTTTGCATCTTATAAACACAATTAAGCCTTAAAATTACATTCTGGACCACCCCTTAAAACTAGCTTCATATTGACGTCAAATACTGACATTTATTCATCAGGTATGGCAACCAAATCCAACATCTGATAGACGTCATAGTGGTAACGTCCACACAACGTCAAACTGTAACTGTCAGGGTTCTGCCACTTTGGTCTTGTAAATTCTTGTTTTGGTGGCAGAGCTCTGACACTTCTCATGTCGGGTCCTGTTTCTGTCTCTGTGTGAGCGCGCGCCGTCATGGGTGTACGTAGAGTGTGCGCGTTCCTGCTTGACGCGGCCGCGCGCGCGCTCTGCGTCACTCAGACGCGTGCGCTCTTGTACTCGTGTTTGTGTTTTCGTTTGTCAGCAGCGTGGTGTTTCATTCCCAGCGTCTCAGTCTTGTTGGTTTCGGTTTTGGTCGGCGCTGGGATGAAGCATGCACGCTGCGTGTGTGTGCGCGCACGGTGAGTGCTTTCATTCATCGTGTGCTCGTGTCTTGCGTCTTTTGTCAAAGCACGTGGCTCGGTGTTTACATTGTGGTCACGTGCTTTTGTCGTGTGCTTCAGTGTTGTGTTGTGTGAGCGCATGGCTTGTATTGTCTCTCTGTGTCATGCGCTCTCCCGTCTATTGTCTTGTCCCACCCACCTTGTTACCTTGTTTGTAATTATTATTTTCACCTGTCCGCCTGTCTGTTTATTGGTTTGTCTTTCCTATTTATTCTCCTAGTGTGCTCTGTTCCGTGCTGGTCCGTTATTGATTGTTCCCTTCTCTGTTGTATCTGCTGATTTCTAGTCTACAACAGTGGTTTAATGTATTGTCTTGTCAAGTTCCAGACCTTGTCTAGTTGAGTGTGTAATATGTTGTGTTTTTCCCCACATGGGGAGATTTGAGTTTTGTTTTTGTTTTATTTTTCATTAAACTCTTCATTCCCTGCATTTGGGTCCTCGCCTCCTCTTCATCACCCCCATACCGTGACAGTAACATCATTTGGCGTTGATATTTGGTTGATTTTTGGTTGTATGTTGGACATTGGCATCGGTCTGACTTTGAGTTCTGACGTCAACCCGATTTTCAATTCCAAACAAAATGTAACGTCTCCACGACGTTGGGGTACAACGTCAATCTAATGTCATTTTGACGTCTTGTGCCAGCTGGGTGTTTAAGGCTATTTCGATCATCATACAGTAAACATCTGTCATCTTCTCATCAGTGACATGCATCTAAACAGTCTCTGGGTCAATGCGTGTAAAGATTTTGGACATCTTCTTGGACCCTTTTGATGCTTGCAAACAGTTTGCTGCAATTATAAATCGCCCATGTCTTGAGGTAGTTTGTTATGATGCAATTTACCTTTTATGTGCGATTTGATTAGACAGGAATCACAGGACTGATTTTTCTAATCCACAGCAACAGGAAATAATAAAAAAGTGACTGCAGGTTGAAGGAATGTAGTGGAGTAAAAGTACTAATTACAGCCTTAATTAGAAACTAAAAATACCCAAACATACTGTAAATGCATACTGTATCGTTTTATATTATGAATCCTTAAGCATAGTGATATATATTCAGTTTTACAACAAAGTGTTTAACTTAAAGTGTGTTTTGCCTTACTTAATTTTTATTACTTAAATGCCACATTTTCATTTTTTAAAGTTACATTTTTTTAATTTTTGCTCTCTCTTCTTATCATATTCAAGCCATTCAATGCCACGAGGATAAATGCTGCAAACATTGAGAACAGGGTACACGAACTAAATAAAGTTGCCGACAACTCCGAGAAACCCAAGCAAGGCTTCTGGGAAGAATTTGAGGTATTTCTGGCCTTGTGCATTTGTCTGCTCATATTTTCTGTTACAGTCATGGGATGTGGTGATTCAGTCCAGGTTTTTGTTTGGGAATAGATTGGATTTTCCGCTGTTTGATATGAGAGTTGTTTATAGAAAGCCTCTCTGCTAGCTGACCTCTTAAACCGCAGTTCCTGTAGGGTGGAAGCTGTCCAGATAAACGGGACATTCCTGTAGGGGGTGCTGACATTCTCATTACACAGCAAAATTTGGATGTATGTGATTTTAAAGGGGGTAGTTCACCCAAAAAATGGAAATTACCTCATCATTTACTCTCCCTCATGTGGTTTTTAAACCTTTGTATGTTTCTGTTGAATATGAAAGAAGATATTCCAAAGAAAGCTGAAAACCAGTAACCATTGACTTCCATAGTTGGAAAACATTTACTATGAAAGTCAATGGGTTCAAGCTAACAGCATTTTTCAGAATATCTTCTTTTGGCAAGCTCACTCTTGTACACCCAAGTTACAGTGAAACCAAAAATGATTCAAGGACATTCTCACATTATCACAGTTTATTCCCTGTAGTTTAGTTTAAACTGTTTTAGAACTGACTAATTGCAATAATCAACTTAACTTTGGCTAAGATAACCATTACATAATGTTATTTTTACCAATCAACAAAAATTATTCAGGATAATGCATTTGTAGTCTGACAATATTTGCACAATTATCAAGTGTTTTTTCCACATTTTGACACAATGCCAGCCTGTAGTCTCTGCTTTCAGTCAGCTTCATGCAAATCTCAACTTCATTATTTTCTGCAGCAGTTTCGTAAGTTCATGTTGGTTTTTAGTCCACCTTATGAACAGTTTTGGGGTATAATATGTCACAGTTTACTTTATTTTAGGAACCTCAATTGTAAATGTTAATTTAACTATAGTTACATGCACCCACTAGTAAAAATAAATATAAAAATATTTATATGTTGCATGAATAATTTCTGGTTTTAATGTATAACTTAATCAAAAGATGTAAAATATAGGTATAACGTGAATATGTATTCACAATATTATCACAATAATAAAGCTTTACAAGCAGACTACTGTGTATTATTATTATTATTATTATTATTATTATTATTATTATTATTATTATTATTATGGTCTTCTTTTTATCATTAAGCAAAGAAAAAACTTTTGCAAAGTTAGGAACACACAGATAAGGAGGGTTACATAACTGAAATCGCATCATTTATTCATTCATTCATTTTCTTGTCGGCTTAGTCCCTTTATTAATCTGGGGTCGCCACAGCGGAATGAACTGCCAACTTATCCAGCACATTTTTATGCAGCGGATGCCCTTCCAGCCATCATACACACACACATTCATACACTATGGACAATTTAGCCTACCTAATTTACCTGTAAGATATAAGACTTACAACAAGCAATAAAATAATTAGACTTTCTTAAAAGAGTTGACATGCATATCAAAGTCTTTCCTGAAAATAAAAAGTAAAGGATTGTGTTTGAAACGTTGCATTTAATGGATGCAAAAAGCTATACAATTATAGTAAGAAGGGTCTAGATACAAAGAGTAACCAAAAAGTAATAATTTGGGGGCTGTATGTAAGTCTGGATATAAGTATTTGTCAACAAAATTGAAAAGTCAAGTGGTGCAGTAGGTAGTGCTGTCGCCTCACATCAAGAAGGTCGCTGGTTCAGCCTCGGCCGGGTCAGCCTCAGCCGGGTCAGTTGGCATTTCTGTATGGCTAATGTGTATGCTAATGTGTATGTATGTGTGCAAAAAAGTGTATGGGTTTCCCAGTAATGGGTTTCAGCTGGAAGGGCATCCACTGTGTAAAACATATACTGGATAAGTTGGCCGTTCATTCCGCTGTGGCAACTGCAGATTAATAAAGGGACTAAGCCAAAAAGAAAATGAATGAATGAATGAATGAATGAATGAATGAATGAATGAATGAATGAATGAATGAATGAATGAAGAATGAATAAATTGAAAAGTCAAGCCAAAACTTTGCAATACATGCACTTGCAAAATGAATTACTTAATGTTTCGACTGAATCTTCGACTGAAGATAAAAAAAGAACTTTTGTGGAAAATACTATTATTAAATAGCAAGTTTGTAATTTACCATTTAGCAATTCTGAATAATTTTAAAAGAGACTTCACCAACTTTATAAGATGAGAAGAATTTATGTGGAAGAAACCAAAACTTTTCCCATTCTACAGTGTGTCACAAATGATGATTTTTTTTTTAATTACACAAGTAAAAAGATATGAGATACCGGATGTCTTTGTTTGACTTGGAATTGAGAAGATTTTGGTCGACAAAAAAAGTTTGTGTTGTCAATATGAAAAATCTAAAGGAGCTTTAGGGCCAGGTATAATAAAGTCAGGCATTTCACTAAAAAAAATAAATACTTTTTAGTTAGGGGGACTAGAAAAGAAAATGTGTCCACAAATTGTTTAAATGAGAAAAGAGCACCACCATCATATATGAGTTGCATGATTTAAAATATATTTTATTTACATTTTACTTCTTTTGCAACTTTTGCAGAGCTGGTTTAAACCTAATTATATCACACACATTTATTGGATGAAACAGTTATTATCCATCAAACACTGTCATCTTTTCATTTATTTATGCTTTTGAATTGCATTATGGGACCTTGATCTTTCCTCCAACAGCATTTTATGTTAAAAAGTTGCTAGATCTCTATGTATTATTTATTATACAATATATTGTTTCAAACTGCTAAAATGTCAATAAAAGTCAATTTGATGAACTGCACAGTTGAATTTTTAATATCAAAGGTTCACGGGCGAAAGATAAAGGTCCCATAATGCAAATTCATAGTCGCAAATAAGCAGAGAACGCTTGTGAATTGCAAAATACAGAATCTGTTAATTAACAGACATTTTATAACTAAACATTAAATCTAAACATGGATCCACATTTCATCCTGACTGTCTTTTATTTTGTCTCCTGTGGTTCTGCAGGTTTTACAGCAACAAGAATGTAAACTCCTTTACCCCAGGAAAGAGGGGCAGAGACCAGAAAATAAAAACAAGAACAGATATAAGAATATACTACCATGTGAGTAACGTGCTGTATTTTTCTGGTTTCTTAATGGGAGAGGCATGTTTCATAATGCAACGGTTAATCTCCAGGGCTCTTGTTCATGCTTTGATCATCATTTTCTGGGTTGCAGTTGACACCACTCGAGTGCAGATCAAGGAAGCGGATCCTGATGTTCCCGGATCCGATTACATCAACGCTAACTATATCCGAGTAAGACCCCGCTTCGCTCGTAATGATTACACGTCAATCTGAATGTCAAGCTTTTGCTGGGTTGTTGAGCTGTGATCAATAAGTTTAGAGATTGCATGTTCTTTTTATCCTTATTGATTTTGTTCTTTTTTCATTTAGAGCGTGAATGAAGAAGGACGTCATATGGATGAAGGTAAAGTGTTCATCGCTACTCAGGGCTGCCTTCAGAACACAGTCCTGGACTTCTGGAAAATGGTTTATCAGGAAAATACACATGTTATTGTCATGACAACCAAGGAGATGGAGAGAGGACGGGTAAGGTCCAGGATGAAAATATTGTACATTCATTCATTCATTCATTCATTCATTCATTCATTCATTCGATCGTTCATTAATACATTTATATTTATATTATATTATATTATATTATATTATATTATATTATATTATATTATATTATATTATATTATATTATATTATTTTATATTATATTATATTATATTATATTATATTATATTATATTATTTTATTTTATTTTTTGTCATATTATGTTATATTGTTTGTCATGGGATACATAGAATATAAGAAAATAAACAATTTGTTATAAAAAAAAATATTTTTTATGCTCTTAATTATATTTCCTTAATTATTTGTGATAATAAAAGTAATTTATATTTTTGGGGGGAGAAATTCATTCAGAATTCATATCAGTTTTAAATACACTGACCATAAAACTGCTAAATGATGACAATCTTGATTCAATTACCCATACAATTATATATTCCAGCCACAATGATTTGGTTTTATTTATTAAACATCTGACGAGTGCAATCCCAGTTGGCATAAAATTATGAAACAGCGTCAGTCTTTGGTCTCTTCAACCTTATGGTATGATTATTAGTCAAATTATTGCAGAAGTATTGGGATTAAAGTTTTGATGTAACCACTATTGAATATTGCACAGCAAAATAGACATTCATATTTTTTAAAGTAACACTATTTTATAAATAATGTTTATCAATTACAGTGTTACGCCAAAAGGTGGTGATAAGTTACTATTAAAAATGCATTTGTCATTGACTTATTTATTCAAGAGAGTCATTCAAAAGGGCTGATTCATCCAGTAATGAAACAAGTGAGGTCTATATAAGCCAGTGATTAAATCAACCTTTCAAACCGATGGGAATTAATTAAATTAACATTGTGTCCAAATCTCTAGTATATTACATGTCATTTTGTTGAAGTCCACCAAAAAAATTAAGTTTCCTCCTTATTTACTCGTACTTAATTGATTATGAACTTTAATGAATTTCTTTTTTTCTGTTAAACACAAAGCAAGATATTATGAAGAATTTTGCAAAAAAGCAACCATTGACATCTATAGTAGGAACAAAAAACACTATGAAAGTCAATTGTTGTGTTTTCCAACATTTTTTATTATAGATTCTCTTGTGTTCATCAGAAAAATGGAGGATGACTAAATAATGGCAAAATTAAAATTTTGGGATCTATTTGGGAACTTTTTAACTTTTCCTTTAATTTGTCAATTCAGAATCGTGGATGAAACATGATTATTATTTTGAACAAAAATGTGATTCTTCTTATATACCAAAAATTTCTAATGCATAATTTGAGAAAATTGAGAATCCACTAATGTTGTATAGCTAAATAGACAACACAGATTTTTTTTTGGGAACTAAACATTGAACTTCTCCCTATAGAATAAATGTGTGCGGTACTGGCCAGACTTGAATTCAACAAAGGAGTTTGGGAAGGTGTGTGTGAAGAACATTGAGGAACACACAGCTCAGGACTACATACGGCGAGAGCTTGAAGTCACACGTCTAGACAGGGTAAGAGCAATGCGATGACAGATGACATGCTGCAGCCAGAGGCAGTTCATAACCTTTGACCTTGTTGTTTACAGTAGCAGCTTGGAGAGAATCTTCTCACTTACTTCAAACCTGTATTACTTTACATTACTAATCTAGGTTGGATGTAGTTTTTCTCATTTTGTAAATTATCATTTGATGTTTCTTTTTTTTTTTTTTTTGTAATTCACTCAGGACTTACTCATTCATATTCATTGAAAGGGGAAGAGAAACCTATTTGTGACCTGTGTACGAATATTTAGACCATAAAACATGTTTTAATAGAAGGTACTGTATATTTTCAAGTTATATTAGAGAACGTTTTTTTAAGGGAAACTTTTAAAAAGATGTCTCCTTTTTCTATTTTACCCTATTTATCATTGGTCAAAATGAAAGAACTCTCATGACTTTTAATCAGTGTGATATCTATATGTTTTTATATAATGCATGTTTGTTTAGAAACAGTTATGATTGTAAATTATAAACTTAATATTCAATTCCAATGTTGACATAGACATACTGCTGATATGGCATAAATAAATAAATAAATAAATACATACATACATATATACATACATATATACATACATACATACATACATACATACATACATACATACATACATACATACATACATGCATACATAAATACTTTTTGTAATTACAGAGAGAGCCTCCCAGGTGTATCTGGCACTATCAGTACCTGAGTTGGCCTGATCACGGTGTTCCAAATGAACCTGGAGGAGTGTTGAGCTTCCTGGAGCAAGTGAACCGAACCCAGAGCGCCATTCCAGAGAGCGGACCCATAGTGGTTCACTGCAGGTACTACACAGCTCACACGTTCTACTTAGATTTATTTAATTATTTTGCTAAATGTGGTCTTAAAGGCACAGTTCTCCCCCCTTCCCCCATAAAAAAATCCAATACTTATTCCCTGTGATGTCCTTCAAATGCTATATGCTATTTATGCTATTAGTTTCTTTTGCCAAACACAAAAAGAGAATTCTAATGAAAAGTCCATTCATTCATTTATTCATTTTCTGAAAACTCCATTCATTCATTTGCCTTAAAAATGTAGCTATTTTAAAAACCCATTAGTTTATTTAAAGGTCATACTCAAATAAACACTAGAATAGATGTTTTTTCTGATGTAATTAAATCTAAATTATGCTTCAAACATTTGATTTTAAAACACTATCAATGACTGAAAACCAAAAAATACAAAAAAAAAATCTTTAGATTCTTATTCACTCTGTCACTTCCGTCATTGGTATTTATTTTCAGCTGTCTGCTGCACTATATGTTCACCTTTGTGGTCGGTCTAGCCGGCGCAATAGCCACATTAGTAATAGCACATACTAGGAAGGTGGGTATCAGGGTTGCCAGGTTTTTGCAATAAAACCCAATGCCCATCCAAAATACCCCAAAACTAGCCTGATGGCCAATCAAAAATATCCCAATATCATAAGTCAAAACTTGCCATCGCCCATTTGTAAAATAAATGTTGTACAGGTACATCACTGTATGGATTATACATGGTTTCTTCTTTGAATATATCTCTATAATAATAATTTTATCAGAAAAATAAATCTCATGTGACTGCCGTGTGCCATCCAGTTCAAATGCATGCAAATGGCAATAACTCCAGAGGAAAGTGAACCACAAACTTAGAATTTAATGAATAAAAGAAAATTTAAATGGACTTTCTTCTGCAGAATACTTTCACAGTTATATTTAAGCAACAATCCTAAACAGTCCTGCCAATCTGCCAACCATAAAAGCAGCCTCTAGTGCCGCTGCACCTCACAAAAGTGTGCACACTCTGTTTCATCATCCTAGCAGTTTCATCATCTGTATCATCAGATGGTTGGATATTTTTCTGCTATACACATTATTCTGTGAAACCTTTGTGTCTTAGCTGCTATCACGTAACATGCCGTATAGGGTAATCACCTGGTTACTGATCTGCTGTGGGAATTTTCCAGGACAATGCAGGTCACAAGAGATATACATTCACTAATATTAGATTACATAAATATTGATTTAAATGAATTGAACTATTCAAGCCTGTTTTACAATGACATTAGATGTCGCTTTCAACAGGTACTGAACCTGCTCTGCTTGGAGTTATACAATGTGGTAAAATATAATGAAGTGACTATAACAGATCATATATGCAGTGACAGTTTCTTTGTTAGGCTAGACAAACTGGATTTAGTGCATATTGAACTTGTATTTCATGTTCGTTCAGGAAGCTTTGAACAGGACGTTTGGTTGGCAGTTGCTGCTGCTTACTTTTAATTCACACTGGTTGCTTTGGTTTGTCCATGCAGTCATCATCAGTGAGGAAAAAATCTCTCTATGAATATTATGGTTGGATATTTTTTCTCCTGTAACCTACACATGACAGTTACACATATGTATTTAAAAACTGAGCTAAATGTATTTATTTTATTTAATTTACACTTGTTGCTTTGCTTTGTCCACACAGTTATCATCAGTGAGGAAAAAAAATCTCTCTATAAATATTATGGTTGGATATTTTGTCTACTGTAACTTACATATGACACACTATATATAAAAACCAAGATAAATGTGGTCATTTTACTGTGGTGTTTTTAAGGAAAGAAAAAATAGGTCACAAAAAATATATAATTTTGGACTGCCAGAAATGCAGGACTGCTGGTCAACCCTAGTGCGGAATATTCCAAGTGTTCTAGGGTAAATTATAGTGCTTGGTGCAAAAACAAATATAAATGAATGACTGTTTGGCTCCTCATTAACCTTTTACAGCCTATGCCATTAATGACTTATATCTGGGTATTTCTAATGCAATCTCACGGAAATTCGTAACTTTTTAATTTAGTGGCTAATTGGTATAAATTTGTACGATCTAATGCGTACAATTTACTACGATTTGCTCATCACCCAATGACGGTTGGGGTTAGGGGTGGGGTTGGGTGCCACGCCTTCTTTTTTAAAATAGTAAATTTTCGTACGACTGAACTCGTACAAATTTGTACGAATTAGCCACTAACCTGACAAAACGTAAGATAATTAAGTTTCCTCGTGAGATCAGGCTGGTATTTCTGCTAAAGTCTTTTCACTTTCTAGTGCCTTATCGTAACGGCAGTAACAATTGCATTCATATCCCAATTAATTTACATAAAAATATAAATATGCATAATTTTTTTCTTTAAATTTAAGACTGTTTCATGAATTATTAAATTTTAACCAAGACTTTATGAATTTATATTAGAGAAAATATATAGTGAAAATGCTTCTGAAACAACTCTGCTTGAGCTAACACTAGCATATTCAGTGGTGTCTTATGAGAGCAGTCCCGTAGAAGACCAGCAGCAACGATTAGAATTAGATAATAAAGTAAATGTTGGGTTGTTTTTCACCTAAACTCATTGTATGTTTCCAGAACACTTAGAAACTTCACCTTGCATGGAATCATAAAAGCTTGATGTTGGTTTCTATACACTCTCGTTATGTACAGTGGATGAGCCAAATCAAAATACATTAAAGAAAAAACACTCATTTTGCATTGTGAAAAAAAAGTGTAACATTAGACATTAGTAAAACACCAAGGTGAAAAAAATGGACTGAAGTTTTCCTTTAACCCTTTATTAATCATGAAACCAGGTAACTTCACTGACATTGATTGGAATATAATCATAATTTTGTTTTAAGTCACAAAAGTAATTTCCCAAACCAAAGTAACTTATCATGTTTTTTCTGAAGAGTTTTTCAATGAGTGCCCTATGAAGGGTTAAAAGAAAAACTACGATAAAGAATTACAGTACTGAAATCCTTATAATGTGTACAGTTCTGTGCATAAATGAGTACGTCCCGCACAAATCTCTCTTTTAATTTCATATACTTTATACTAATATCAGTGATACTTGATATTGATACTTTATACTCATATAGTTAATAATCTCATATTCAATAATATATTATATGTGCAAAAACATTAGACTAGTTAGTACAAAAGTAAAAAAAATGGAACTAATCTAAAAAAGGAAGGTCACAGTCCAAAAATTAGTACACCCAAATTAATATGTTGGGGAAAATGTTAAGCAAATTTTTATTTAAAAAGGAAAAATCAAGAGAAACTTAAAAATATATGTAATGTAGTTTTTGTTTTCTAATTTGTAAATTCTTTTTATTTTATTATTATTATTATTTTATTTGAATTTAAATGTATTATCTTTCTATTCGTGAAGATGTAAGGTGACCCCCCCCCCCCCATTTTTTAACAGGTATAACTGTATAATTAAACTGTTTTGTTTAAATGCAACAAAATTATTAGCTTTATTCACTAAGAAATGGACAAAAATATAAATTTTCAAAGAGGGGTGTACTGAATTTAAAAGCTGTGCTCCACAATGTAAATGTCCCACTGTTGCTGTCATTCTAGTGCAGGGATTGGAAGAACAGGCACAATTATCGTGATTGACATTCTTATCGACATCATAAATAGACAAGGTAAGCATTTCATACAGAATTATCCCAGTGGTGTCTTTTTTGTCTGTCATTGATTACATTTAACACAGCTGAACTGCTTCTCTAAGGGCTGGACTGTGACATTGACATCCCAAAAACGATTCAGAGAGTGCGACAGCAGCGGTCCGGTATGGTTCAGACTGAAGCCCAGTACAAGTTCATCTACATGGCTGTTCAGCAATACATTGATACTGCTCAGAAGAGACTAGAAGAGGAGCAGGTGCTTGAACACTACATTTTCAATCAAAATAATGTGATGGAGATACATATATATATAAATTACATGCTACAGTACAGTCAAAGTCAAACAGAAACACTTTACAATAAGGATGTATTAGCTAGTGTTAGATAATGCATTTGCTAAAATGGTCAAACAATGAACAATACATTTATTGCAGTATTTATTCATCTTTGTTAACATTAGTTTCCCAGTCTTGGGTTGCAGCTGGAAGCCCATCCGCTGCATAAAAAATATGCTGGAATAGTTGGCGCTGGCGGTTCATTCTTGTGTGGAGACCTCTGAAATAGAGACTAAGCAGAAGGAAAATGAATAAATGTATAAACGAATGAATAGATGAATGAATGTTAACATTAGTTGAGGTAACTGTCTATCCTGCCACAGCTGAAATCTACCCACATTTGGCAGGCTGACTGGTGTTAATGTCAAGCCCTAATAACTATTATTAAAAGTTTTTTTGTCAAAATGGAATGATGTTTCTAAACATGCCTCAGGAATGTTGTTTCAGATCTATCAAATTTCCCCCAAACCAGACACAAACACAACCATTCTTATATTTTTATGTGCAGTTTGAGATATTGCCTACATTTTATTTTTGCCTTATGTATTAGGCAGCATCGATCTTATAGTACAATATTTTTCCCATATTCATTTTTTTATGGCTAAAACTGAATGCATTAACATATTTACTACAATGGAATGCTATTTGACAAGCCTTATTTTTATCAAATGAATTTTTAGCTTCATGATTTTGTTCTTGACATTTTCAGAGGAACAAAACGAAGGAGAGGGAATACTCTAACATCAAGTACCCACAGATGTCAAATGCCAGAGCCAAGCCTAACATGAGCTCGTCTCGCTCTTCATCTGTGTAAGTGCTCGTTTCCTGTCATTCACACAGAACACACACACTTAGAAACATAGCCCACACAGTATTGTTACTGGAAGACAGTTAATGAGCTTCTATAGGTAAACCGTCTCCCACACTTCCTCAATTCTAAAGGTATTTGTTGCTAAGTGAATCATTTTCCGACAAAAGGCTTCTGATGCTACTGTGAGTCAGTCGTTGAAGAACAATAAACACAAACTTTAGTACATCAAGTTTGATAAGTGTGTTCACATTCTTGTTGTTTTTGCTTTATTTTTCATAAAATTAATGCAGCCTCCATGGGCTTTATTCAAAAGTGTATTAAAAAATCTTACCTATCACAAATGACTTATGCAAAACTCACTTTTAAAAGGGGTTGAAACACAGTTGTGTGTGAAAAGTGCATGAATATATTCAGCCTTTAATGGTAAAAATGTATTAATTAAAATTTTTGCAGAAACACTTTGAAGGACATTCTCCCTTTGCATGAGTCATCAGAAAGGGGAAAGTCCCACCCATTAGTGATGATCTCTGCCTCACTAGCATAGACAGACCTAAGTGAACTTAGCTGTACTAAAGCCCAATCTCAATTCTACTCCTTTTGCTGTTTACACCACAGGCAGAATGTGTGAATAAATTGCACCATTCGCCCGTAAATAGACACGTAAACTTTTTAAGTTTACTCACTTCATTTGCGCATCAAATCTGCTTCATTCGCACATCAAATCTGCTTCATTCGCACATCAAATCTGCTTCATTCGCACATCAAATCTGCTTCATTCGCACATCAAATCCGCTTCATTCGCACATCAAATTCACTTTACAATAGACGCGGATTCTCTTCAATGGGCAGGGCTTCTGTCTGCCTGGTGATAATATATTTGTTGCTAACTGGCTAACATTGATTTTATTGAGAGAATAGCTGTGTTTATGTGCTTTATGAAGGCTGAAAAACAGCATTGATTTGTTTGGAGCTGTGTCTAGATCCATTCAGAGGTGCACCCAGCTCTGTGAGTTCATAAACTACTCCGGGGACTATACCTGGATGATGGAAGCTTTCAGCGGTGCTTCAGACTGAGCAGAGCCTAGTTTGATGACTGCTGTCCAGTCTCAGCTAGAGAATTTCCCCCCAGAACACCACCAGCAGGCGCTACATCATAATCAGTATTTTTGTTATTATTATGTATTTTTACAAAAAACTAGTTTTTATACATTTATAACAGCATTCGTGTTTTACCGTCATGCTTTAAAAAAAAATACTAAAATAAAAACCGCCTAATTTCACTATCTGTTATCCCTAATAAAAACTGCTGTATAGCAGTCAAATAACACATCTAACACTTAATGACACTCGAATACCTGTCAGATAGTCTAGTGGCTGGGAATGACCTTTTGACAGTGTCTAGAAAGGTCAATGTTGTTTTTATTTATTTACATAGATGAATATGCACACGGTGTAAATGCACAGTACAGCTATAGTATTGCCACATTATATTGTTATAATAATATGATATCGTTGCCTTCAGTGATTTCCTGAAGATAAATACTGAAAAATATTTCATGTCTTAGTGTTACACTCTGTTTCAAGGGCCAAGGGGAAGGGGTAGGGGTACAAAAATAGAATTGAGATTGGGATGGATGCACAAATGAACGCTGTAGTCTCCATAGACTTTCTCCTTTTTTTTTCTTGAATTCGCTGCTATGCTAACCCATAGGTGTTCTAGCTCCACCCTCTTATGAAAAGAGAGCTAAGAGCTTCAAATGAATGTATAAAATGATTTGTGTGGCATTTTGAGTTGAAACACACTCTAGGTGCATCAAAGATTTATTTTACATTTTATTTTACAAGGTTCTCTTTAATTAAAATGTATGGGTTTAGTATGTGTTTAATAGATTTTCATTTTTTAATAATTATACAATTTTTATAGAATTCAGAATTATGTATCATAATGAAATTATGAAAATCTTCTTTTATACTGAAATATGTTTAGTTATTTTTAGACCACATGCTGTAATTGAATTC